GTGTGTGTGTGTGTGTGTGTGCCCAAAATCCTGAGAGGAGAATGGAGGAGAAGGGATTGCAGCATGGTCATTTTCCCTGGGGGAGGGTGGGGGGGGTGATTTCTCACTTTCTGTCTCTCTGTCTCTCTCTGTCTTTCTGGTGAGTGCACGCGCCCTATAGCAAAACAAAACAAAAAAGTAATAGCAAGGTTATATAAAAGTAATTTATGCTGAATTAACAGAACAATAAAACACTGCAAATTGTAAAGGTTGTCAGGTATAACATATACTAACTTAAAAAGAACACATTCTAACACATACTAAAAAAAAAAACCAAGTTCAACATTTCAACATACTCTTTCCTTGAGAGCATATATGATAGAAATACTGTATTTGCTTGGTTTCAATAAACCATCAATTGTAAGACTCGGTGTTAAGAAAAAAAAAGTTTATAGGACCAGCAGATAGCCTGGTGGTTAAGGCACTGGACTCCCACATGGTCTACCGTGGTTCAAGTCCCAGACCTGGTGGCTTGATTTCTCACTTTCCCTTTCCTTTTCTCTCTCTGTCTCTGGTCAAATTAAAAAATAAAAATAATAACAAATACATTAAATGATTTTACAATTTATAGAAGGATGAAGTACTATAATATCAATATGATATTAATATTACATTTCTACCAAAGATACATTAAAATCTGAATAACCTCTATATTAAAAATTAATCAAATGAGGGATTGGCAGTAGCATGGTGGTTAAGGGCAATGGACTCCCACGTGGCCGACCATGGTTCAAGTCCTGGACCAGGCAACTTGTTTTCTCTCTCTCTCTTTCTCTCTCTCCCTCTCTCTCTCTCATTCTATCCCTCTCTTGTCAAATTAAAACTAAAGTTAAATAAAATCTAAAAAACAAAAATTAACCAAATGTAATTAAGAAGGGAACTGACATACTCCCACATGTATCATAAGCCAACAGTACTTAAAATACTACTTGCACCAACGTAATCTTAAACAGTAATGAAAATTGTACCAAAAAATAGGAAAGTTAAGATTATAGAGTACAAATTACGTGGGGGAAGTAAGAATCACAGATTGAAATATCCTAGAGGGAAGTACATTCTATGGAACTCTCTCCAACACTGGGGACAGGAATGGGCAATTAGGAGTGGGGGAGAAACAAAACACCAAAAAATACAGGTAGAGCACATTTGGAGGAACGTTTTCTGAGAAGGAAAAAAATATTAGACTAACTCACGCCGGGCACGTATGTGTGCGTGCCCAAGATCCCGAGAGGAGAATGGAGGAGAAGGGATTGCAGCGTGACCATCCCCCCTGGGGGGGGTGATTTCTCACTTTCTGTCTCTATGTCTCTCTCTGTCTGTCTGGAGAGCACACGCGCCCTATAGCGAAAAAACCTCTCTCAAAAAAAAAAAAAATTAGACTACAGCAGTTTCAGAATCAAAAAGTGTTAAGAAATCATGGGCGATGTGATTCCAAAGATAAGACAGTTGAATGAAATTCAAAGATAACAGAATTGAGAAGAAAGATTAAAAAAAAAAAACCCTCATGTACCTTTTAATTTCAGAAATTCCACTTCAAATTATTCTACAGATGTACTTTTCCATAGATATAAAATGACATAAGCCAAGTTTTCATTGCAACGTTGTTATAATAGCAACATATTAAAACAATTCCATCATCTCCCAATAAGGAGCTGTGTAAATAAAGAATGGTACATCCATACAGTGAAGTATTATGCTGCCATAAAAAAGAAAAAGGGGCCAGATGACACAGTGATCAAATATGATACTCTGTGAAGCAGTCCCACACAGGAAGGTTCCTGGTTCAAGTCTAAAGACCTCCCTGTCTACCAGGCACATGTGTGTTATTGACGCAGTGCTAACGGAAGCCTGCAGATGCCTCGTGGCTTTGAAACCCTGTTGGAGATTCTCTCTCTCCCTCTCCCTCTTTTCCTCTCTCTTACTCATGGAAGAAAAATAAACTTTTAAAGAAAAAAGGTTATTTGTGACCTGATGCAGAAATGAAGTCTAAGATAGCGAGGGTCTGAATAATAGAACATGTGGGTTTAACATTAAGCCCACACTCTTGCTATATTTTATAATGGTGCCTGCACACACACACGGATGCTTGGGTGGGCAAACGTGGTTCTAATAGGCTACTTTTTTTGGTTTACTTTTTTTTGTAAATGAAATAGGGAGCTCAGCTCTCAGCTGAGGGATGAAAGAGAAGGCTCCAGAGGTTAAAGAAGGGAGCAGATGACCCAGCAATGAGAAACAAGGTGGGGTTGCCCACAACAATTCACCACTTCACCCCTCCACATCACTCCTGTTTTAGCAATACAATGCCTAGTAAAAGCTAGGGGCTGGGGGAATCACCCCAGTAGATGAGAAATATCAGCACACCATCCTTAAACATTTCGTGAGACAAAGGCTGCAGCTGTTGACAATGTTGAGATTTGGGGCAGGTTTTCTCGGGCACAGTTGGCACACCTGAAAACAGTTCCAGGGACGTCTTAGCACAGACCAGGTTGCAGCAACCCAGAGAGCAGAAAGGATTCTCCCTGGGGCTTCTGGGAGATGCTGCACTTTTCACTTTCTAGGGGTGGGTTAGGGTTCATTGCCACAGAGCCCCTGAGCCCTGGAAACAGTCCAGTAGAGGCACAGGGATTTGTCAAACTGGGCAGAAGTCGTCTGTCACCCAATGTCAGGGGTCAGTGAACGGAAGGATCCTCTGCTCCCCCTAGCTGCCTCCGTGGGTTAGGGGGCGTCCATGCTGGGCTGCCCAGCTCTCTGTGTGCCACGGCTTACATTCTTCCTTTTTGTCTCCTTTTACTGCCGGTTCGTTCCCTCACCGTGGACTTGACTGGCCAGCCCCAGCAGACTAAAGATGAATTCCATTAGGAAGCACGCTGGGGAAGAAGGCAAAAGAATTTTGGCAAAATCACAAAATAGGGATAATAATATACCAATTGGAATGGAACCCTCACCCAGCTCATGGGGGTGCTGTGAGAATTAATTAATGTTTGTAAAGGCCTTTGAGTGGCTCAGAGGGAAGGTGCCACCGGAGTCCAGAGCATTATTGTGAAGGGATTATGTGCACAAATACAATACCAGGAGCCAGGATATTACTAAAAATAAAGTAGAACTTTCTGTGAGGAAGGTAAGGAAGGAAATGCCTCACTGAAAAAAGCTTAACTGTCTTTTAATACAAATGCCTAGGGTACCCGGTAATGGAACAGCAAGTCTGAGCTCCCATTGTAAGTGGAGGATTATGTTTTCTCGACATTGTCAAGGTGCTGTGGAACAAAACAAAATGACTGCTTTACCCCAAAGAGGGGGATAGTCTTTGAAAAAAGAGATTAAGAGGCTATTTGGCTGTTGCACTGTGCAGTCCGTCCGTGAGGAAAAAGGCAACAGTGAAGGCGAATGTTTGTTTGCCTTTGGGGGAAAGGGGTTTAAAAGTGGGAAGAAAGGGGAACCCTCCAAATTAAAAGAATTATTGGCGGTGACTCCCAATACTTCTGCTGGGGAGATGAAAGCCTGCTAGAAACGAAAGGACACTTTTGATCTGCTCCTCCCTCAAACAAGCTCTTTAAATCCTAGGTTTGAAATTGCAGAAGAGATACGATATTCATATATTCTTGCGTTTACAGACAATGATCACATTTACTGCATGAACAAAAACTAATCCAACAAAACAACTCTCTGCCTTGTCCCTAGTAGAAGTGATGCGTGCTGGAGTATGAAGTGGGTCGTGTCGTGTGTTAGAAGTTCCCCTTAGGCTACACAGCAGAGACGACAGTGGAATCCCAGTCCTTCTCTTCCTAACCCCTTCCTTTGTACCCTTTCTTTCTCCTCCACCCCCTTATTTTGTAACAAGGCCTCTGGAGTCTGAAGCAGATTAGCAAACAAATAAATCCTTTAATGTCATGGAATACTTTCCCCAGCGTAAATGGCATTTAATCTGCCAGCCCAGCAGAGTCTGCATTTCACACACCTCAGCCACATAAGCCATTTCTCCCAACCCCTCGTGTATGGCACAAAGGTCATTTCATTTGAGTGTTGGCAATGGGGAGACTTCCTTGCTCCATTCTTCCTTCCTATTTTGTCTTCAGCTCCCTTGACTGTCTGCCTTTGAAAATGTCCTTTACGTGAGTGTTTAGAAGAGCTTCAGAGAACAAGGAATAACTGTGGTTCACAGAGGAGCCAGAAGAACACAGACTGTGGACCACGAACTGGCCCCAGCTCCGTCCCCACAACCTCCTGAAGCAGCGCAGAGGAGGGGGCTTCGGATTGGCTCTGGCCATGCGACTCTGGGCGTGAGGCCCCACCATCATGGCCATGCACAGCCCTGCACCGCCGCCAGCACTCCTCCCGAACTATTGTAATACTGAGGGAGGACTGGGCTGGCTTCACGGACCCTACGTAGACATTTAAGAACCCCAAGTGAGCTGAGTTTTGTAGGAACGGAAAAGAAGCAGGCAGTGTGGTCTCTGACCTGAGAGTATCTCCAAGTATCATTTCACTCGGCAACTGGCTCAGGGTCCTCTTTAAGAGGGTGGCTTATGGCCATCAATAAGTCTGCCTCCCAAAGAATCCTGTTTCTACCCGTCCACACCACTTCCCTGAAGAAAGCATTGCTTCCATTCAGGAACCTAAGGGGGAGAAGACTATTTTGGGGTTATTTACTCAAAACCATTGGGTCCATTCTGACTCATTCACATTTCCCTTTGCTCATGCCTGGAATCAGAGAACGTGACTCACCCAGCTGTTCCGTCCTCTCGGTTGGGACCAAAGGAAACGCTTCATTTTAAGGAGGAGGTGCTCGTGGCCCTTGTGGATGAAGTCGGAACATCACAATGAGGCCAGAAGACGCTGCAGCTGTGAGCCCTCAGTGTCTCAGGACATGTGGGCCAGAGAGACAACTTCCTGAAACATAGAGTCTCCATCAGACTTTTACGTTAAAGCCATGGGAACAATGGAGTAAGGAAGGATGAGAATGTATGTGCATTTCTGAAGAGCAGCCATGACGGTTTTTACTTCCCAGCAAATAATGACATAATAATGAACTGTAGAAAATGGAACAAGATGCATCTTCACAATAGGATATGCAGAAGAAAAGTCCCAGAGGGTTATATACCACATGATACCCTTGAAAATAGCTTAACACAATGAAATGTTTAAAAAATAGGTGCCGTTTAGAAATACAATGAACTAGAGAGACAGAAAAGCAAGGAAGCGAGAAGGACACCGGTGATGTTGGTGGAGAGATGTGTGATTCCATGTGTTATTCTCTGCACTTATTCGTGTTTTGGGAGATGGATTCATGGATCTTTAGTACATTATTAAAAATAAGTAAATCGGGGCAAGCAGGTGGCCTACTGGTTAAAGCACTGAACTTCCATATGGCTGACCATGGTTTGAGTCCCAGACCTGGTGACATGCTTTCTCACTTTTCCTCTCTCCCTCTCTCAGTCTCTTTCTGGTTAAATTAAAATAATAATGAATAAAAAAATTGAATAATTCTTTTTAAAAAGGTAGATAACTAAATAGAAGCTGAAAGATTATAGCTCAGTCATGACAATGTGTCATGAATCAAGGATCATGATTGATCCGATGAACACATGCCAAATTAGAAAAAAAAATGATGATCGTACTAGTTTGCCAGAGCTATTGTAACAAAGCACCATACTAAATGCCTTAAAGAATAGAAATCTGGGGACCAGCAGTTAGTGTAATGGCTATGTTGCTGGACTCCCATGTAGTCGACTGCGGTTCGAGTCCTGGACTCGGTGGCTTAAACTCACGCTGGGCGCATGTGAGTGCGTGCCCAAGATCCCAGGGGGAGAATGGAGGAGAAGGGATTGTGGCATGACCATCCCCGTGGGGGGTGCTTTCTCACTTTCTGTCTCTCTGTCTCTGTCTGTCTGGTGAGCGCACATGCCCTATAGCAAAAACCTCTCAAAAAAAAAAAATAAAAAGAATAGAAATCTGGGGCCAGCAGGTAGTATAGTAGTTAAGGTACTGGACTCCAACAGAGCCAACCATGGTTCCAGTCTTGGACCTGCTAGCTTGACAATCACATGTGTGTGTGTGTGTGTGTGTGTGTGTGTGCACCCAAAAATCCCAGGAGAAAAAAGGAAGAGGGATTGAAATGTGACCATACCCCCTGGTGAGTGATTCTCACTTTTCCTCTCTCTGTCTCTGTCTGTCTCTAATGAGTGTACACACCCTATGACAAAATCTAAAAAATATGAATAATAGAGAATAGAAACTTACTGTCTCAAGTTCTGGGGCTAGAAGTCCAATGGGCTTCGGAAGGAGGGATAAAAAAGGAAGGAAGGATCTAGTTCCTTCTGAGGGAAGGATCGGATCCAGCCCTCCCTCCTTGGCTGTTAGATGACTCTCCTCCCCCTCTCTTCACATCATCATCCCTCTTTATTGTCTCTGTGCCCAAATTCCCCCGTGTTGTCGCATAAGACACATCATATTAGATTGGTGTCCACTCTAGCGCTTTAACCTTAATTTGAACCTCTGTGAAGAGCCTTCCTCCAGCTGAGGCCACATTCTGGAGTATTGGGGTGAGGACTTCAGTATATCTTTTGTAGGGGACATAGTTCAGTTCATAACACATACAACACTTGTTATAAGAGCCATGGGATTGGGAAGGGAAGAAGGTAATTAATTGTGCACTTAGAATGCAGTTTTCCAAGTGTTTTCTTCATTTCAGCCTTGCCAGCTTAAGTGTTTGGAAGAGAGCATAGGAAGGTTGTAATATTCCAAAAGGATTACAGAGAGAAAGAGGAAAGAGAGGGGAATCTCTTTTACTAAGAGTTTTTTAAGTCGATTACAAATATCGATTTCAAATCTTTAAACCAGCATTTTTCTACTGTCATTTTATGCCAGAGCGTATGCATGCCTGCATGTGCGTGAGTGACAGAAAGCACCCCCAGCGTCCCAACAGGGCCTGGTCATCTGCAACCCTTTTTCTTTATTTCTCTCTCCCATAAGATCCTGAGCACATGTACAAATACCAGCATGTTGCTGCCAGGGCCAGGATTCGAACCATGGTCTGCCATATGGGATCTGGCTCAAGCTCCAGCTCCCTCTGCACAGCACTTATCCCCTGCACTATGGGGCCAGCCCCTAAACCAACTTTGATTTGTTCTCCTTAAACCAGCTACTCCATATGACCCAGTAATCCCACTCCTTGGTATTTACCCAGAAGATAGGAAAATCATCAGAAAGACATTTGAACATCCATGTTTATTGCTGCATTATTCACACTTGCTAAAACATGGAACCAACTTGTGTCTAAAAGCTGATGACTGAATTGAAAAGTTGTGGCACTTATATTCTGTAGAAGGTTACATAGCTGTAAGAAACAATGGGGTCCTATCCTTTGACTCGAAATGGATAAACATAGAAGACTTAATGCTGAACAAAGTGAGCCAGACTTTGAAAGATACACATTGCATATCCCCACTCCATTTGTACTGAGTGTCTACGCTCTTTTGCAGAGGCTGAGCAATCTGAAGACGTGATAGTGGAGAGGATGAGTGTGGATGCGGGAGACTGTAAGGGGAGAATGGCTGTTAGAGGGTGGGTGATGGCAGGTTGGTGTGAGGAACAATGTTTAGGACAGTCATGTCTGTTCAAAAATGTGAGTTAATCTAGTCTGCAGATCGTTTCATGAATGCTTTATCACATTATAAAAGTTCAAGCGCAATAATGTTTGAAGATGATAAATGATTGTGTATCTTGTTTCTAATAAAAAGGACAGAAACTACTAGAGGAACATGAAACACGTAGTACAGAGAGGTTATGATTATCAACATTAGTCTCTTGACCAACTCGCAAGGTGGACACCGTTAGAACTAAATACATTTTAGATTAGTCAATTATTTCTCACTCACCCTTTTTCCTGCTGTAGCACTAGGATGGCTACACTGCAGTTTCCGTTTCGAATGGGAATATGTCTAAAATATGACCCTGTGACAAGGTGACTGGTAGGACTTCTTGTCTCCCCTGTCTGGGAGTGACAACTTTTCATCAGAAGGAGGGATAAGAGAGGGTAACCGCCATCTTCCAGTAATTAACCAAAATGACGAAAGGGAAGGAGGAGAGGCACCCGATATATGTTCTCTAGGCCTTTTAGAAAACATGGAGTTGTTCCTTTGGCGACATATATCCGAATCTACAAGAAAGATGATATTGTAGACATTAAGGGAATGGGTACTGTTCAAAAAGAATGCCCCACAAATGTTACCATGGCAAAACTGGAAGAGTCTACAATGTTACCCAGCATGCTGTTGGCATTGTTGTGAACAAACAAGTTAAGGGCAAGATTCTTGCCAAGAGAATCAATGTGCGTATTGAGCATATTAAGCATTCTGAGAGCAGAGATAGTTTGCTAAAACGTGTGAAGGAAAATGACCAGAAAAAGAAAGAAGCCAAAGAGAAAGGTACCTGGGTTCAACTAAAGCACCAGCCTGCTCCACCCTGAGAAGCACACTTTGTGAGAACCAATGGAAAGGAGCCTGAGCTACTGGAGCCTATTCCCTATGAATTCATGGCTTAATGGGTGTTAAAAATAAACTAATCTGTGGTCTATTAAAAAGAAGAAGGAGGAGGGATAAGAGAGGAAGAAGCTTGCTCTATGGCTCCAGCTCTTAATAAACCCTCAAAGAAGCCAGTAGGTGGTGTGGTGGTTGAAGCTTCGGACTCCCACGTGGCCCACCACAGTTGGAGTCCCGGACCTTGCGCTTGCTTTCTCACTTCCCTCTCTTGTCCCTCTCTAGCAAGCACATGTGCTCTATAGCAAATTTAAAATAATAATAGTAACAATGAAAATTAAATAGTTCTTTGAAAAAATACTCCCCCCAAATTACCATTACTCCCCTGTCCTTTTGCTGTCAAAGGAGCAGGAGCTTCTACTGGTAGTAATCTTTGTGTGCTCTATTGTTTGTTTCCTGAACCCTGCCTACACATCTCTTGATTTAAATTACCTGAGAAAAATTCTATTTCCTGCTGGGATACTGACTGGTGCTAATTTGCATATGGAAATTAGAAACCGTCATATTCTAATATAGTAAAACTAAGTAAATGAGTAAGAAATAAAAAAAAAAAAAAAAAAAAAGAGAGAAACATTTAGATATTCAGTACCTGGTGACAAAGACCTGGGGGCGTCCTGATAGAACTATCACGTTTATAGCCTGACACTGGCCAAGGTGGGAGAATTTATATTACGGAAATGTAAAGAAATAAATAAAGCAGCTGCTAAGTTTTAGATATCATGTTTATCATGCAGAATCTACCGATATCTATTTTTAAATTTGTGTTTATTATGATGATGATTTTTTAATTTGCTGTAGGGCACATGTGCTCACCAGAGAGAGACAGAGGTGGGGGAGGTGTGAGAAAGCAAAGGTACCAGGTCCAGGACTCAAATCATGGTGGGCCATGTGGGAATCCAGCGCCTTAACAACCGTGCACCCTGCTGGCCCCTCTATCTGTATGTAAAATGTGTCAGCTTGATGGTTCAACCCTTCTTTCTTCCTTCGCTTTCACCTACCTCCAATCATGTCTGGGTTTCCTCTCCCATGTTTGGGTTATATCTGGAGTTCAGTCCTCTGGTTCTCCTCCTTCCCATAGCCAGCACTCAACATCGTCCTCCTGTGTGAACACGTGCAGAAAACCATCCCAGCTGGCCCGCGACGGCCTCTACAGCCCCCACTCCTGGCCCCACTCCAGGCACTGAGCGGCCCGGTCCTTCTGCTGACCCGGGGTGAAATCCCAGCTCTGCTCAACTACTGCGTGTCCCCAGCAAATCACCCACTTCCGCTATGGAAGTCTTCCTCCGAGCACAAACTCCTAACACCCGCCTTTTAAGACTGTGAGAAAGAAAACGAAATATCACGTGTAAAACGGGACCCAGGCCTCACCTTTAATGAGAGCTCGCCTACCCAGCCTGCCTGCTCCACTCACAGGGCGTCCCCACCCCCACCTCCTGGCTTACATCCTCTGCCCTTTGCCCCCTCCT